GCACACCTTTGGCTAATCTTTTCAACATATCACTACAAACTGGCATGGTGCCAGATAAGTGGAAAATGGCAAATGTGATACCTATTTTCAAAACAGGTGACAGGTCCTTAGCTTCGAACTATAGACCAATAAGCCTAACCTCCATAGTGGGAAAATTTATGGAATCAATAATTGCCGAGGCAGTTCGTAGCCACCTTGAAAAGCATAAATTAATCAACGAATCTCAGCATGGTTTTACAAAGGGGCGTTCCTGCCTTACGAATTTATTAACTTTTTTTACTAAGGTATTTGAGGAGGTAGATCATGGTAATGAATATGATATTGTGTAATATGGACTTCAGTAAGGCTTTTGACAGGGTCCCACATCAGAGACATTGAGGAAAATTAAAGCACATGGAATAGGAGGAGAAATTTTTTTCCTGGATAGAGCATGGTTGACAAATAGGCAGCAGAGAAGTTTGCATAAATGGGGAGAAATCAGAGTGGGGAAAGCGTCACGAGCGGTGTTCCACAGGGGTCAGTGTTGGGCCCCCTGCTGTTCACAATCTACATAAACGACATAGATGAGGGCATAAAGAGCGACATCGGCAAGTTTGCCGATGACACCAAATAGGCCGTCGAATTCATTCTGACGAGACATTCGAGCACTCCAGGAAGATTTGAATAGACTGATGCAGTGGTCGGAGAAGTGGCAGATGCAGTTTAATATAGACAAATGCAAAGTTCTAAATGTTGGACAGGACAATAACCATGCCACATATAAACTAAATAATGTAGATCTTAATATTACGGATTGCGAAAAAGACTTAGGAGTTCTGGTTAGCAGTAATCTGAAACCAAGACAACAGTGCATAAGTGTTCGCAATAAAGCTAATAGAATCCTTGGCTTCATATCAAGAAGCATAAATAATAGGAGTCCTCAGGTTGTTCTTCAACTCTATACATCCTTGGTTAGGCCTCATTTAGATTATGCTGCACAGTTTGGTCACCGTATTACAGAATGGATATAAATTCTCTGGAAAATGTACAAAGGAGGATGACAAAGATGATCCCATGTATCAGAAACCTTCCCTATGAAGATAAGACTAAGGGCCCTGAAACTGCACTCTCTAGAAAGACGTAGAATTAGGGGGGATATGATTGAGGTTTATAAGTGGAAGACAGGAATAAATAAAGGGGATGTAAATAGTGTGCTGAAAATATCTAGCCTAGACAGGACTCGCAGCAATGGTTTTAAGTTGGAAAAATTCAGATTCAGGAGGGATATAGGAAAGTACTGGTTTGGTAATAGAGTTGTGGATGAGTGGAACAAACTCCAAGTACCGTTATAGAGGCCAGAACGTTGTGTAGCTTTAAAAATAGGTTGGATAAATACATGAGTAGATGTGGGTGGGTGTGAGTTGGACCTGATAGCTTGTGCTAACAGGTCGGTTGCCGTGTTCCTCCCTTAAGTCAATGTGACCTGACCTGACTAGGTTGGGTGCATTGGCTTAAGCCGGTAGGGACTTGGACCTGCCTCGCATGGGCCAGTAGGCCTTCTGCAGTGTTCCTTCGTTCTTATGTTCTTATGTTCTTAACACTCTGACAGTTTCTGCGGTGTAATTCCTGTTATACGTCACACCGAGATATTTGGCTACTCGCCAACACTTCTGAAGTTTTAATGTACTTAACTCGGACAAAGTCAGAGTATCAATTAACTGTTTCACTTTGACATACAACACGAAAATAAGTGCACGATGAGAGAGTGATTATTGGAAACTATAATCCTAATAGGAATTTTAGTGTTGGGTGTCTTAGAGCTAGAGCTCATAAACAGTGTTTCCATCTCCTTGGATCAAGAGACAAGTACATACATTCACCTAATATGTTGTACAAGACTAAACTCGAAGTCTTCAGATTAGGAAAGTACTCAAAGTGTTTGGCCATAGAGTTACTAGTGTGTCAAACTGGACAATTTCTCCAAAACCTTGGATCAAGAGCCTCCCGGACAGGCTTCCATTTGTAAGCATAGAAATCTCCATAGGATACTAGAAAGGACTTCCCTTCTAGCATCCAGCCTGTTACTGGGTTTTTGTAACAAGTAGTCAGTATCCTGGCCCAATTATCCATTAGAATTTAGTAAGATTCCATAGTGCTTCAGGATTACAACTAGTAGGCTACTAACTAAAGAAATTAAAATTTAATAAGTTTATTAATAACAAAGTCTAGGCGTATAAGATCAAAGTAAATTATAGTACTCAATTTAATATAATATAGGATACAAGTTCCTACACTTCTCTCGTGTACATTAGTATTGTGCTGAAGGCACATATCACGTCTTTATGGCTTTTAAGTACCGTCTGGTACATTGTTAACATTTAATAACATAATACAAATTTATACATGTAAGTTTGTGTGTATGTGCTCTAGGCAGTTCGCTATGTCTCAAGACTCGGCTAGACTTAACCAGTGACTGACAAAGTCCTCACATAAACTAACTTCTTGACCAACCTGGCAATCAGAACAGCTTGCTTGAACAATAAAACGACTGATAAGCTGAATAGCAATATGACAAGTAACAGCAACACAGAATCAGGAAAAAGGAGATAATATAACGACATTAAGTAGGGACCATCTGCAGACCCTCCACAAAAGTCACAAAACTCCCATACTACTAAATCTAAGTTCAGCATTAGAAAATCCTCGAATGTGACAGTACACAGATACCAGTACAAATTAGGCCAGAAGCTACAGCTCAAGACCTGAGTTTCTCAGAGTGTCTATGTGACACACAACCTCAGTACAATGTCGAAAATCACTAAGTCTAAGCTATGTTCTGTGAACAGAGTTATACAGAACCAACAACAAGAAAGCAACAGAGACGATCTTCCAACAAGGGCCCACAAGGGAGAGAGGGTGAGGGACGTCTTGTTAGAAGAAAGTCAGACAAAAGACAGTGCAGCCCAGGCAGACTACTCCAGGCGAGGTGTGATCAACCCCCCCGATCACGTGACTCTCTGTGGACTGCTGCTGCCCAGCAACACACAAGCCATCAGCGTAACGAGTGTAGAGAAAACACAGTAGTTAGACAATGTTGTCAGCTACTTAACACTTGAACTATGAGCACTGAATAATATATAAATGTTACATCCTACCTAATAATATAACTAAGTCAAATAATAATATAAAGCAAAATATTTATGATTTAGCTATTATCACAAATATAAGCAATATAAAATCATATGAACAGGTAATATACATTATATACATTGTGACCCATTCAGGGGTCACAATACTCACTAATAGGAAGCATAGAGTGTGCATAAATGGGATTAAATCTGAGTGGGGATATGTAACAAGTGGTGTTCCGCAGGGATCAGTTTTAGGCCCATTGTTGTTTATAATATATTTAAACGACCTTGACGAGGGAATTACTAGTGACATAAGCAAATTTGCTGATGACACGAAGATAGGATAATCGATTCAGACGTTGATGTCTCACAACTTCAGGAGGATTTAGACAAACTCAATTCGTGGTCAGAAAAGTGGCAGATGCAGTAGATAAATGTAAAGTTCTAAAGCTCGGAAATGTCCATAACCCTAGCACCTACGAGCTTAATAATATTGAACTTAGCCGTATAGAATGCGAAAAGGATTTGGGGGTTATGGTAAGCAGCAACCTTAAGTGCCTAAGCGTGTGTAATAAAGCACATCGATTGCTGGGATTTATATCAAGAAGTGTAAGCAACAGAAGTCCAGCAGTTATACTTCAGCTTTATACATCTTTAGAAAGGCCTCACCTAGATTATGCAGCTCAGTTCTGGTCTCCATATTACAGAATGGACATAAATTCGTTAGAAAACATTCAGCATAGAATGACTAAATTAATACATAGCATTAGAAATCTTCCTTATGAAAAAAGATTGAAGACCCTTAAATTACATTCACTTGTTAGACGAAGAATGAGGGGATACATGATCGAAGTGTATAAGTGGATGATAGGTATTAATAAATGGGATATTAGTAAGGTCTTGAGGATATCTCTCCAGGAGAGAACCCGCAGTAATGGATTCAAATTGAACAAGTTTAGATTTAGAAGGGATGTAGGAAAGTATTGGCTTGGAAATAGGGTAGTTGATGAGTGGAACAGTTTACCTAGTTGGGTTATTGAGGCCAAAACCTTGGGTAGTTTCGAATATAGGTTTTATAAATACATGAGTGAGAGGGGTTGGATTTGAGTGGGAGTTGTATATGAGAGTGGATAAAGTTATCAGAGCTTATTTCTTGGGTGGCATTGGAAATTGGGTTGGGCAAATGTTTTGTTAGTGGGATGGATTGTAATGGACCTGCCAAGTATGGGCCAACAGGCCCGCTGCAGTGTTCCTTTCTTATGTTCTTATGTTCTTAATCTGTTAGCCTTGTTGTGCACGCTAAGGCACTGCTGTCTTGGTTTTAGATTTCTGCTTACTATGACTCCCAAGCCTTTTTCACATTGTGCATGATCAAGCTCTATCTTTCTTCATGAACAATTTTTAGCTAAATTCTGCAATTTATGTCAATTCCCAACCAAAATATATTTAATATTACATTAAAACTATGATATGTATTTTTTTTTTTTTTTTTTTTTTTTTTTTTTTGCTCACACTAATATCCGCTGATTTGTGGCAAAAAGCAAATTTTCAGTCGCCTGATTCGGCAAAGTGAACCCTTGGTAAATAGTCCAAGGTGGACAATTCTGCTTATGACACATACACATATATTATATAACATCATAATTGGTGGTTAGAGTGATCCAATGGTTAGAACGTTGTCTTGTTCACATGGGGTGGGAGAAGGTGATGAGGGATCCAGTCTCGGCCACCCGAGACTTGTGTTGTGGCGGCTGATGATGGTGTAGTGGCCACTGATTATGGTGTTGTGACCACTGATGATGGTGTGGGCACTAATTATGTAGTTCAGGTACTAAGTATAGTGTTTGTTGTGAAGGTAGTGCAGCAACTGACAGTATTGTACACAATCAGATAGTATATGTGTGCCGGGATCCTCGTGACGTGTGTGTCTCCTTCTACTACCAGTTCATCAAGCTGCATGGCTACAAGGACACCTTCAATCACTTCGTCCAATTATTCCTCGATGACATAAGTATGATTCTCACTTTCTGTTATTTTTTATTAAAGGAGAAACAAAGATAAATAAACCACCCCAGGAAGTACTACCGTCCTGCCAGATGACTGTGAAACAGAAACCTGTAACTGTTTTACATGATGGTAGGATTGCTGGTGTCTTTTTCTGTCTCATAAACACGTTGGATAACAGGGATATCTTGCTACTTCTACTTACACTTTGGTCACACTACACAGGCAAGCACATACATATGCATACATATATACATGTATGTATACATCTAGGTTTTTCTTCTTTTTTTCTAAATAGCTCTTGTTCTTCCTTACTTCTTCTATTGTCCATGGGGAAGTGGAAAAGAATCTTTCCTCCATAAGCCATGCGTGTGATATGAGGCGACTAGAATGCCGGGAGCAATGGGCTAATAACCCCTTCTCCTGTAAACATTTACTAAAAAAAAGAAGAAAAACTTTATAAAACTGGGATGCTTGAATGTGCGTGGATGTAGTGTGAATGATAAGACAGAGATGATTGCTAATGTTATGAATGAAAAGAAGTTGGTGTCCTGGCCCTAAGCGAAACAAAGCTGAAAGGGGTAGGGGAGTTTCAGAGGGGAGAAATTAATGGGATTATGTCAGGAGTATCTGAGAGAGTTAGAGCTAAGGAAGTGCTAGCAATAATGTTGAAAGATCGGTTATGGAAGAAGACGAGAGAATATAAATGTGTAAATTCAAGGATTATGTGAATTAAAATAAAGGAGAGAGATTTTGGGAGATGTTAAGCAAATGTATAGGAACATTTGAATCAAGTGAGAGAGTAATAAATGCTAAAGTAGGAGAAACATTTAGAGAGGGTGTGGTAGGTTAGTTTGGGGTGCCAGGTGTAAATGATAATGGGAGCCCTTTGATTGAACTTTGTACAGAAAAAAATTTAGTTATAGGTAATACATATTTTAAGAAAAGAGGATAAATAATATACAAGATATGATGTAGGGCGTAGTGACAGTAGATTGTTGGAATATGTATTGGTAGATGAAAAAGTGATGAGTAGACTTCAGGATGTACATGTTTATACAGGGGCCACAGATATATCAGATCACTTTTTATATGTAACTACAGTGAGAGTAAATGGTAGATGGGATACAAGGAAAATAGAAGCATCAGGTAAGAGAAAAGTGAAGGTTTATAAACTGAAAGAGGAGGCAGTTAGGATAAGATATAAACAACTATCGGAGGATAGATGGGCTAGTGGAGCGATTGGTGGAATAGTGATGTAAAGAGAGTATTAAGGGAGAAATAATTAGCATATGAGAAGTTTTTACAAAGCAGAAGTGATGCAAGGAGGGAAGAGTATGTGGAGAACAAAAAAGAGACTAAGAGAGTGGTGAAGCAATGTAAAAAGGAAGCAAATGAGAGAGTGGGCTATATGGCATCATCAAATTGTTGAAAATTTAAAGTTTTCGAATGAAATTAACAAGTTGAGGAATCCTTGGGAACAAATGGATTTGCCAGTTAAAAATAGGAGAGTTATTAAATGGAAAGTTAGAGGAATCGAGAAATGGAGGGGATATTTTGAGGAATTGTTAAATGTTGATGAAGATAGGGAAGCTGTGATTTCGTATAGGGCAAGGAGGAACAATTTCTTGTAGGAGTGAGGAAGAGCCAGTCATTAGTGTGGGGAAAGTTCGTGAGGCAGTATGTAGAATGAAAGGGTGTAAGGCAGCTGGGATTGATGGGATAGAGATAGGAATGTTAAAAGCAGGTGGGGATATAGTTTTGGAGTGGTTGGTGCTATTATTTAATTAATAAATCCCCTCAAGGAAGGTTCCTTGATGCTGGTGAGGGGCTCTTGATCTAGGGAACTGGATCTGTGCTCCAGTTCCCTGAATTAAGCCTGAATACCTTCCATCCCTCCCCCAAGCACTGTATAATCCTATGGGTTTAGTGCTTCCCCCTTGATTATGATTAATTAATAAATGTATGTAAAAGGGTAAGGTACCTAGGGATTGGCAGAGAGCATGCATAGTTCCTTTGTATAAAGGCAAAGGGGACAAAAGAGAATGCAATAATTATAAAGGGGTTAAGTCTATTTTGTATACTTGGTAAAGTGTATGGTAGAGTTATTATTGAAAGAATTAAGAGTAAGACGGAGAGTAGGATAGCAGATGAACAAGAAGGCTTTGGGAAAGGTAGGGGGTGTGTAGACCAAGCGTTTACAGTGAAACATATAAGTAAGGCTAAAAAGGTTTTTGTGTCATTTATGGATTTGGAAAAGATATATGACAGGGCGGATAGGGAAACAATGTGGCAGATGTTGCAGGTGTATGGTATAGGCGGTAGGTTACTGAAAGCAGTGAAGAGTTTTTACGAGGATAGTTAGAGTATGTAGGAAAGAGGGAGATTATTTCCCAGTAAAAGTAGGCCTTAGACAAGAATGTGTGATGTCACTGTGGTTGTTCAATATATTTATAGATGGGGTTGTAAGAGAAGTGAATGCGAGGGTCTTGGCAAGAGGAGTTGTCACAGTTGCTTTTTGTTGATGACACTGTGCTCTTGGGAGATTCCGAAGAGAAGTTGCAGAGGTTGTTGAATGAATTCTGTAGAGTATGTAAAAGAAGAAAATTAACAGTGAATAGAGGAAAGAGTAAGGTTATGAGGATAAAGGATTAGGTGAGGAAAGATTGGATATCAGATTGGAGGGAGAGAATATGAAGGAGGTGAATGTATTCAGATATTTGGATGTGGACGTGTCAGCGGATGGGTCTATGAAAGATTAGGTGAATCATAGAATTGATGAGGGGAAAAGGGTGAGCGGTGCACTTAGGAGTCTGTGGAGACAAAGAACTTTGACCTTGGAAGCAAAGAGAAAAATGTATGAGAGTATAGTTTTACCAACGCTCTTATATGGGTGTTAAGCATGAGTGATGAATGTTGCAGCGAGGAGAAGACTGGAGGCAGTGGAGATGTCATGTCTGAGGGCAATGTGTGGTGTGAATATAATGCAGAGAATTCGTAGCTTGGAAATTAGGAGAAGGTGTGGGATTACCAAAACTATTGTCCAGAGGGCTGAGGAGGGGTTGTTGAGGTGGTTCAGACATGTAGAGAGAATGGAACGAAATAGAATGACTTCTAGAGTGTATCAATCTGTAGTGGAGGGAAGGCGGGGTTTGGGGTTGCCTAGGAAAAGTTGGAGGGAGGGGTAAAGGAGGTTTTGTGTGCGAGGGGCTTGGACCTCCAGCCAGCATGCTTGACCTTATTTGAAAGGAGTGAATGGAGACAAATAGGTTTTAATACTTGACGTGCTGTTGGAATGTGAGCAAAGTGGGCGAAACGTTGTCAATAAAGGATCACATTATACAGCATATATGTTTATATTTCCACCCTGCCTTGCTGGGAATCGGCCAATGTGTTAATAATATATATATATATATTATAATATATATATTATATATAATATATATAATATATATATATATATATATAGTATATATATATATATATATAATGTCGTGCCGAATATGTAAAACTGGTCAATTAGCAAGAACTCATTTAAAATTATGTCCTTTCTAAAATTTTCTCTTATACGTTTAAAGATAAATTTTTTTCATTAATGTTAATGTAAAAATTTTTAATTTTGCTCCAAAAGAATCTTAGAAAAGTTACTTAACCTTGTTATAACAAGAATAATTTATTTTAGCCTAACCCAACTAAATATATTTTAGATTTGTTTACAATAATTTAATACTAAACAAACACAGTGAAATATATTTTTTCCGTTAGGTTTAGAATGATTTTGGCGAAATTATTGCATGCACAAATTTTCGCTTGTCCTATATGGCAAGATGAGCGTTGCTATTTAAGCCAAGATCGCAAGTTCTGCCTATTCGGCACGACATATATATATATATATATATATATAATATATATATATAAAATATATATATATATATATATATATATATATTATATATATAAAATTTTCTCTTATACGTTTAAAGACTATTTTTCATTAACGTTAAAGTAAAAATTTATAATTTTGCAACAAAAGAATCTTAGAAAACTTCCCTCACCTTATTATAACAAGCAAAATTTATTTTAGTGTAATTCATCTAAATATATTTTAGATACTTTCACAATAATTTAATATTGAACAAACACAATGAAATATATTTTTTTTCGTTAAGTTCAGAATTATTTTTACGAAATTATTGCATACACAAATTTTCGTTTGCCTTGTATGGCAAGATGAGCGTTTGTAGATGAATGGTTCACAGAACCGACACATTGATAAATTAGGCACATGTGCAACTCTTGGGTATCTTTATTTAGGAAACGTTTCGCCACACAGTGGCTTCATCAGTCCATGCACAGGAGAAAATTTGAAGAACAGGAGGAGAATGAGGTAATTAGTCCCTGAACCTTGAGTCGATGTGGTCAGTCCATCAATCTTGATGGACTGACAACATATTGTTTCAGACTATGGAACAATACTCTTCTCCAGACTGAGGGACTGACCACCTCAAAACTTCAAGGGTGATGGACTGATTACATCGTCTTCAAGTATCTTCTGCTTCTATCAACTTTTCTGTACTCGACTGAAGAAGCCTACTGTGTAGGCGAAACGTTTCGAAATAAAGATACCTAGCTGTTGCATATGTGTCTTACCTAACAACCTGTCGGTATTTTATACCATTTTAATGTTCACATTGTGATCCTTTATTGACAACGTTTCGCCCACACAGTGGGCTTTTTTATATTTACCTAGGGTGTATATATAATGTTCGCCAAGACCGTAGTCCGGGCACGGGTCTCAATCTTGCGATGACCCGTCTCTGGCTCCCGAGGGAGAAAGGTTTCTACAATGATGCGACGTATGCTGCTCAAGCACTCTTCTGGTCAGTTCAACTGGTGCATCTCATAAGCGACAACACCATATGTACTCCTAACTGTGGTATAAACCTTGGTAATAAATACCGACAAGTTGGTTTAGAAAGGCACGTAAGCAAACACTATGACATTTATTAGAAAACGTTTCATTCCTGAGACCTTGATCACTTCTAACATACAGAGATAGAAAGACATTATATATATAGGCGGAGACTGAGGTGTGAGTTACACACGGTGACCTGAAGAATGTCAAGTTGGGATGAGGACGGGTAGACGATGAAATCATGTGACTCCTGTGTTGTTGAGTTGGTGGTGCTTAAGTATCATGTATGCCAATGATTTTGAAATTTTGTAGTTTCCTGTGTTACGTTCTATAGTGTCGGTGACGGCGATTAGTGAGGCTTCTAGGCACCGTCGGCGTCTGAGGTCTGGTTCGGTGAGAACGAGTTGTGCCTCATTCCAGTTCATCAAATGCCCCGTGGAGTCTCTGTGGAGGACACAGGCGTACCTTACATCGTCTCTGTTAGAGGCATTTCGATGCTCATTCAGGCGGACTGCAAGATCTCTGCCTGTCTCGCCTACATATTTCTTGGGGCAGAATCCACAGGGGATAATGTAGACGCCTGATGTAGAAGTTAGAGGTGTGGGGCTGCGTTTCGTAGTGAGATCTTTGATAGATGATGTGTTTGTGGTGGAAACGTCGATGTTACTCATAGCAAGTGCCCGGCGAGTATTCGTGGCAACATCACCACATGGGAACACTATGAACTGCTTAGAGAGCTGTTCCATGGGAGGTTTGTTGAGGATAGCTTTTGCCTAGAGTCTGCAATCTCGGATGAAGAAAGATGGGAACTGAAGACGTGTAAAGGCTTGTGTTATGTAAATACATTCTTCTTCAAGAAAACAAGGGCTGGAGATGCGAAGAGCTCTCAAGAAGAAGCCAATGAGGACTCCTCTTTTAGTGCGGGTGTCTTGGTGTGAATAAAAGTGTATAAGATCGTCCTTGTTGGTAGGTTTTCTATACACTTTGAAGAGAAGTTTGTCACTGTCGGGAGATCTGCACAGGAGAACGTCGAGGAAAGGAAGTTCGCAATCGTTTTCGAGTTCAAGTGTAAACTTTATTGATGGTTCGGCTGCATTGATCTTGTTGAGAAGGGCCTGGATATTAAGACGTCTCGGATAGAAAACCAATATATCATCAATGTATCTTAGCCAGGTAACGGTGTTGGGATTGAGGGTGCTGAATTTCTCTGTCTCTAGGTTTTCCATGAAGAGGTTGGCAAGCACAGCACTGATACTTGATACATGATACTTAAGCAACACCAACCCAACAACACAGGAGTCACATGATTTCATCGTCTACCCATCCTCATCTCAACTTGACATTCTTCAAGTCACCGTGCGTCACTCACACCTCACTCTCCGCCTATATATATAATGTCTTTCTATCTCTGTATGCATACAGCTCGAGTGGTGACGTCTGCTTAGCTAACACATCACTCACACATCGACGATCTCGCCTCTCTCGAATTACCCCGTGCTGAGAGGGACTTCGCTTAGAGTAGTGCTTGCTGAACCTTCGTCTTCCTCTCCACCATCAGGATTGGTGCGTCGGTGGTAGCCTACCCAAGGGCAGGAAGCCTGTTGCTGCCTGAATTCTCTTCGTCTGTTGACTGCACGCCATGCAGCCAGTCTCGCCGCCACTGAGGATGTACAGTGCTCCATCAAGCTACAGTTCACCTCCTCAGTGTCCTGCGCCAGGCAAGCACGTGTGTCTACTTACATGTACTTGCCTAGCTGAGTACTCTCACTTTTTGGCCGATTGTCACGGCCAATTTCATCTTTTCGTAATTAGACGATGCCTTTGTTGCCTTCCACCTCCCACCCCCCTTCCACTCTCCCCCAACCGCCCACACCTGCCTCTGCTTCTTCTAAATCCAATTCCTTCTCAAGTTCTCTAATCCTGATGCCACTATCTGTCCTGAAAATTTATTATATCAGATCACTGGTGCACCTCAACTTAAAGTCTTCAAAACCAACTCAGGTTTCAAACTCCTTCTTGACAAACATTCTTACGAAACGTATACCTCAACCGATACCAGACAAAAACTTCTCAACGCAGGCTTCACCATTATCTGGACTCCTGAGCACCGTGCCAAAAGCAGTCATTGCTAAACATGTAGACTACTCTCTCCTGACAGCCTATGACATAGACAAAGAAGACTTAATCAAAGATATCAGTACTAAGAACAAAGTCTCTGTTGACGATATTTACAGACCCAAAAACTCTACCATTCTCAAAATACGCTGTTCTACTCCTGCTGACGCCTCTACACTCTTCAATCAAGGAATCTTTGCCAAGACCATCCGCATTCCTCCAAACACTCTCTTCACTCCGAACTTCCACCCAATTAGACAATGTCTTAAATGCTACAAATTCGGCTAATACAAAAACACATACACATCTACACAAGTCTGCTCCAGATGTTCAGCAACTGGCCACTTCTGGAATACTTGCAACCTCCCCCTTAAATGTTCTAACTGCGGAGGGTCACACACTGCAGTTGCAAATTACTGCCCTTCTAGAAAGCACATTCTCTCCCCCCTCAGAGCAAGCCAACCTCCCTCCCTCCCCAACCCCTTCCCTGCACCTCCCTCCCCTTCCATACCTTCCTCCCCTACCCCCAATGCCTGGGCCTCCCCACACACTTGGTCCACCTCTTCTACTCTACACACATCAAACGCCAACACACAGACTTCAAGCACTTTTCCTTCTACACCTACACCAACACTAGACTACAAAACTAACTGTCAACTCGCCACTGCTGCCCATTCTGCGATGGTAATCTCTCAAGCTTACCAATCAGACTACTCACATGTCCATAACCTAATCTTGTCTGCTAACAATCTTCCCTTTTTAATTATCCCTCCTTCCTGCTTCTCTTCTAAACCTCCTACAACCTCTCCCTCCTCCCTCTCTCCCACCCCCTCTTCCTATTCCCACCAGCTCTCCTCCTCCCCTACCCCTCTTCACTACGTCTACACCTCCCACTAACACCCCTACTGCTGCTGCTACGACCACCACTCCCCCCACTTCCTTACCCTCTTCCTGATCCCCCTTCCAAAGCTTCCACTTCCTCATCCCTTACCATAGCTTCCTCTTCCTCATTCCCTACCAAAGCTTCCACTTCCTCTGCATCCACCTTCGCCCACTCCTCCACCACTACCAAAACTTCATCCTGGTCCAACTCCACCTCCTCCAGACAAAATCCACTCAAACCTAAACCTGCCCCAACTTCTGACAGACAGACCAAAGAACGTAAAAACAGTTCTATCTCTTCCTCCCCCTCAAGGAAACGGGTCCGTAGCACCTACAAACACACATCCACTGATGGCACCACTATCACGGGCTTAATCCAAACTCCTCCCCTTGCATTAACTTTGCTATGACGAAACCATTAAATCTTGTTCAACGTACGTTCTTACTTTACAATTAGACACCTATCGGCCGAGCTCCTTGAAGCAGAGAGGCCAGATATTGTTTTGCTAAACAGTACCTGTCTCAAAGCCCCTCAACGTATCTGCCATTATGGTTATACTGCACTACAGTCCCCCTATGATCCCCACGATTGGGTTGCCATCCTTGTCAAATCCAACATAAAACACGAATTTCTCCCAATCCCTTTTATACAACAACAGTCTTGCAGTCATAATCCACACCCACCTTGGCCCCTTTATCTTTTTCACCACCTATGCTCGCCCAAACACTATTCTCAACATACACGACCTTTCCTTAGTCTTCAACTACAGCAACATGCCAACATACCTACTAGCTGATATGAATGCCAAACACACCGCCTTTCATCACACCAGTAACAACCAACTTGGTCACCAATTACTCAACTTCACAAACCACGAACACCTAGTTCACCTCGGCCCAGACTTCAACACCTTCTGCAATCACACTGGCCAAGGCATCCTTCGTCTTCTGTACATTTTCCCATTCTCAAGTGCACTTAGATTTTGCCTCCCTTCACTTTTCGTGAAGCAAGGGCTCGTTCTGCTCTTCCCATTATTTCTGTTTCTTTTGGAAACAAACGTATCTGCCTCCTAGCATTTTGTTGTCACATAGTCCATCATTTCTTTTATTGGTTTTCCTGCCAATTCTCTTTCCCAGTGAACGTCTTGCTGGAAGTTCCTCATACGTGTGTATTACCCACTTTTGTAGTTTGGCTTTTCCCTTCCTATTCCTGCTACACTCTCCACTTGTAGCTCAACTATGTAATCAAAGCACAGAACCACATGATCACTAGCTCCAAGGGGCCTCTCGTACTTGATATTCTCTATGTCCGAAATACTCAAGGTGAATATGAGGTTCAGTCTTCCTGGATCATCCTCACCTCTCTCTCTGGTAGTGTCTCTAACATATTAATCCATAAGGTTCTCCAGTACAGCATTCATCATCTTGGCTCTCCATGTTTCGGGACCCCCATGGGGCTCCAGGTTTTTCCAGTCAATCTCCTTGTGATTGAAATCACCCATAACTAGTAACTTAGCTCCCCCCATGTGAGCTCGCCTCGCCATCTCGGCTAGTGCGTCTACCATTGCTTTGTTGCTCTCTTCGTATTCTTCTCTTGGCTTCTTGCAGTTCTGTGGACGGGTGTACATCACTGCAATTACTACCTCATGGGTAGTTCCTACTATGTAGTCCCTTTCGTCCATTCCATCAATTCCTTCCATTTCCTCAAATCCCCACCGCTTTTTAATGAGCAGTGCAACTCCTTCTACCCCCCACTGCTCCTTCATCTTTCCCTCAGGATTTGATATCTGGGAGGAAAGACTGCATCTGTAATCATCCTGGTGAGTTTCGTTTCTGTAAGTGCTATTTTGCTGTGAATGTCTCACTGATTCATTTATGCCACTCCTCACATTTATTTGTTATTATTTCTGCATTTCTATTCAAACCTTTCACTTCTTTTCTAAAACTGTGGTCAGGGGGTATGTTGGGGTTGGGGAAGTGGGAGACCTGATGAGGAACTATGGGTGGTTTGCTTTGTGTGTGTGTACTCACCTATTTGTACTCACCTATTTGTGGTTGCAGGGGTCGAGTCACAGCTCCTGGCCCCGCCTCTTCGCTGATTGCTACTAGGTCCTCTCTCTCCCTGCCCCATGAGCTCTATCATACCTCTCCTTAAAACTATGTATGGTTCCCGCCTCCACTACTTCACTTTCTAGGCTATTCCACAGCTTGACTACTCTATGACTGAAGAAATACTTCCTAACATCCCTTTGATTCATCTGAGTCTTCAACTTCCAATTGTGACCTCTTGTGTCTGTGTCCCTTCTCTGGAACATCCCGTCTTTGTCCACCTCGTCTATTCCATGCAGTATTTTATATGTCGTTATCATGTCTCCCCTGACCCTCCTGGCCTCCAGTGTCGTCAGGCCGATTTCCCTCAACCTTTCTTCGTAGGACAATCCCCGAAGCTCTGGGACTAGTCTTGTTGCAAACCTTTGCACTTTCTCTAATTTCTTGACGTGCTTGACTAGGTGTGGATTCCAAACTGGTGCTGCATACTCCAGTATGGGCCTGACGTAAATGGTATACAGAGTCTTGAATGAATCCTTACTGAGGTATCGGAACGCTATCCGTAGGTTTGCCAGGCGCCCGTATGCTGGAGCAGTTATCTGATTGATGTGCGCCTCGGGAGATATGCTCGGTGTTATACTCACCCCCAGATCTTTTTCCTTGAGTGAGGTTTGCAGACTTTGGCCATCTAAACTATATTGTGTCTGCGGTCTTCTTTGCCCTTCCCCAATCTTCATGACTTTGCATTTGGCAGGGTTAAACTCAAGAAGCAGTAAACATCTATGGGACTAAATTCGTAAGGCATCTACATACGAAAATGTTGTGCTAATGGGAGATTTCAACTATAGACAGATTGACTGGAGCAATTTGACAGGAAATTTAGAGTCAGGTGACTTTCTTGATACGATCCAGGATTGTTTTTTAAAACAGTTTGTGACAGAGCCAACTAGGGGAAATAACCTCCTTGACTTGGTTCTTGCCAGTAGGGAAACACTAATTAATAATCTTGAGGTTAATGATGAGCTTGGGGAAAGTGATCACAAATCACTCAGTTTTAATATATCATGGAATTCCCCTAATAATGGCAATCAAGTCTCTGTCCCTGACTTTCGCTTGGCTGATTTCATAGGACTGAAAAATTACTTAGGTGGGCTGAACTGGAATGACCTGACTAAGGGTTGCCGATATGATGCTTTCCAGGGCATAGTTCTAGCTGCTCAGTCAAATTATGTTCCAAATAGGGAAATCAGATCAAACAATAATGATCCTAAATGGATGAACAATAGATTAAAATATCTGATTGGTCAAAAGAGAGGCATATATAGGCAAATCAAAAGAGGAGAGGGGCAATTGAGAAATCGATATATTCAGTTAAAGAGAGAAATAAAAAAGGGAATTAGAAAAGCAAAAAGAGATTATGAGGTTAAAGTTGCAAGAGAATCGAAGACTAACCCAAAAGGATTCTTTCAGGTATACAGAAGTAAGATCAGGGACAAGATAGGCCCACTCAAAAGTTCCTCGGGTCAGCTCACTGACAGTGATAAGGAAATGTGTAGAATTTTTAACACATACTTCCTCTCAGTTTTTACACAGGAGGATACCAGCGATATTCCAGTAATGATAAATTATGTAGAACAGGACGATAATAAACTGTGCACTATTAGGGTCACAA